GGGTTGTTTTTGGCGTTTTTTGGGGGGATTTTGAGGGAATTTGGGGGAAATTTTTGGAATTTTTGGGCGTTTTTCAATTTTTTCAGGGATTTTTTGGGATTTTGGGGATTTTTTTGGGGAATTTTCAGGAATTTTGGAGGATTTTTTTTTTAGTGGGGATTTCCCATTTTTTGGTGTTTATTTAGTGGGAATTTTCCCTTTTTTGGTGGAAATTTCCCGTTTTTGGGGGGATTTTTTTCAGTGGGAACTTTCCCATTATTTTGGGTGTGAACTTTCCCATTTTTGGTTGATTTTCCCAAATTTTGCCTTTTTTTGCCCAGGGTGGGAGAACGTTTACGGCTTCGACATGTCGTGCATTAAGGACGTGGCCATCAAAGAGCCCCTGGTGGACGTGGTGGACCCCAAGCAGCTGGTGACCAACGCCTGCCTCATCAAGGTAGCCCAAAATTGCCCAAAATCACACAAATTTGCCCCAAAATTCCAACAGTTAAAAAAACCCCAAAAAACGGGAAAAAAAAAACAAAAAATCACAAAAAAATCGAAAAAAAACCCAAAAATATCCCCAAAAAATCTCAAATTTATCCCCAAAATCCCGACCAACGCCTGCCTTATCAAGGTAGCCCAAAATTGCCCAAAATCCCACTAATTTGCCCCAAAATTCCAACCGTTAAAAAAAACCCAAAAAAATCAAAAAAAAATCGAAAAAAAAACACAAAAAAACCCAAAAATATCCCAAAAAAATCTCAGATTTATCCCAAACATCCCGACCCGACGCCTGTCTCATCAAGGTAGCCCAAAATTGCCCAAAATCCCACCAATTTGCCCCAAAATTTCAACCGTTAAAAAAAACCCAGAAAAATAAAAACAAAATCTAAAAAAAATCTAAAAAAAATCCTAAAAAAAATCTCAGATTTATCCCCAAAATCCCGACCCGACGCCTGCCTCATCAAGGTAGCCCAAAATTGCCCAAAATCACACGAATTTGCCCCAAAATTCCAACAGGTAAAAAAAACCCAAAAAAAATCCCAAAAAAACCAAAAAAAACCCCAAAAAAATCTAAAAAAAAACCCAAAAAAATCTCAAATTTATCCCCAAAATCCCGACCAACGCCTGCCTCATCAAGGTAGCCCAAAATTGCCCAAAATCCCACTAATTTGACCCAAAATTCCAACCATTAAACAAACAAAAAAAAATCCCCAAAAAATTGAAAAAAAACCCCAAAAATATCCTAAAAAAACCCAAAAAAATCTCAAATTTATCCCCAAAATCCCGACCAACGCCTGCCTCATCAAGGTAGCCCAAAATTGCCCAAAATCCCACAAATTTGCCCCAAAATTCAGAAAATTAAAAAAAAAAAAAAATCCAAAAAAATCACAAAAAAATCGAAAAAAAACCCCAAAAATATCCTAAAAAAACAAAAAAAAATCTCAAATTTATCCCCAAAATCCCGACCAACGCCTGCCTCATCAAGGTAGCCCAAAATTGCCCAAAATCCCACAAATTTGCCCCAAAATTCCAACCGTTAAAAAAAACCCAAAAAAATAAAAACAAAATCTAAAAAAAATCTAAAAAAAACCCCAAAAAAATCTCAAATTTATCCCTAAAATCTCAACCAATGCCTATCTCATCGAGGTAGCCCAAAATTGCCCAAATTAGCCCCAAAATTCCAACCGTTAAAAAAACCCAAAAAAATGGGAAAAAAAAACCCAAAAAATCACCAAAAAATCGAAAAAAACCCCAAAAATATCTCAAATTTATCCCCAAAATCCCCACCAACGCCTGCCTCATCAAGGTAGCCCAAAATTGCCCAAAATCCCACAAATTTGCCCCAAAATTCCAAAAATTTAAAAAAAAAAATGGAAAAAAAACCCAAAAAATATCTAAAAAAAACCCAAAAATATCCCCCAAAAAAATCTCAAATTCATCCCCAAAATCCCGACCAACACCTGCCTCATCAAGGTAGCCCAAAATTGCCCAAATTAGCCCAAAAATTAAAAAAAAATAAATTTAAAAATCTCCAAAAAACTCCCAATTTTTTTTCTCCCCAATTTTCCTCATTTTTTCCCATTTTTTCACCATTTTTAACCCCATTTTCACCATTTTTTCACCAATTTTTCCCATTTTTCACCATTTTTTCACCATTTTTTCACCATTTTTAATAATTTTCCTCAAATTTTCGGTTTTTCTCCCCAGAAAGTCGAGGAGCTGATTTGGGGTTGATTTTGGGTCCTTTCAGGCCATTTTTAACCCCATTTTCTCCATTTTAAAGCCATTTTTTCACGGATTTTCTCCATTTTTTCACCGATTTTCCCCATTTTTTCACCATTTTTTATAATTTTTCCCAAATCTGCCGTTTTTCTCCCCAGGAATTGGACATCCACATGGTGAAGGTGGAGGAGCTGAGCTTGGGTTGATTTTGGGTCCTTTCAGGCCATTTTTTCACTGATTTTCTCCATTTTTTCACCATTTTTTCACCATTTTTTCACCGATTTTCCCCATTTTTTCACCATTTTTTTAAATTTTTCCCAAATTCTCAGTTTTTCTCCCCAGGAATTGGACATCCACACAGTGAAGGTGGAGGAGCTGGTTTGGGGTTAATTTTGGGTCGTTTCAGTCCATTTTAAACCAAATTTTCTCCATTTTTTCACCATTTTTTCACCGATTTTCACCATTTTTTCACCCATTTTTCACCATTTTTAATCTTTTTTCCCAAAATCTCGGTTTTTCTCTCCCCAGGAAGTGGACATCTACACGGTGAAGGTGGAGGAGCTGAGCTTGGGTTAATTTTGGGTCATTTCAGGCAATTTTTAACCCCATTTTCTCCATTTTTTCACCAATTTTCCCCCTTTTTTCCCCCTTTTTTCACCGATTTTCCCCATTTTTTCACCATTTTTTATAATTTTTCCCAAATCTGCCGTTTTTCTCCCCAGGAATTGGACATTCTCCAGGAATTGGAGGAGCTGGGATTGAGTTGGGCTTGGGTTGATTTTGGGTCGTTTCAGGCCATTTTTAACCCGATTTTCTCCATTTTTTCACCATTTTTTCACCGATTTTCACCATTTTTTCACCGATTTTTTTTAATTTTTCCCAAATTCTCGGTTTTTCTCCCCAGAAAGTCGAGGAGTTGGTTTGGAGTTGATTTTGGGTCGTTTCAGGCCATTTTTAACCCGATTTTCTCCATTTTTTCACCATTTTTTCACCGATTTTCACCATTTTTTCACCGATTTTCCCCATTTTTAATCTTTTTTCCCAAATTCTCGGTTTTTCTCCCCAGGAAGTCGAGCTGCTTTGGGGTTGATTTTGGGTCATTTCAGGCCATTTTTAACCCCCTTTTCTCCATTTTTTCTCCATTTTTCACCATTTTTTCACCCATTTTCCCCATTTTTTCACCGATTTTCCCCATTTTTTCACCATTTTTTTTAATTTTTCCCAAAATCTCGTTTTTTCTCCCCAGGAAGTGGACATCTACACGGTGAAGGTGGAGGAGCTGGGATTGGGGTTGATTTTGGGTCATTTCAGGCCATTTTTAACCACATTTTCTCCATTTTTTTGCCATTTTTTCACCGATTTTCCCCATTTTTTCACCATTTTTTTTAATTTTTCCCAAAATCTCGTTTTTTCTCCCCAGGAAGTGGACATCTACACGGTGAAGGTGGAGGAGTTGACCTTCACGGCGCCGTTCTGCCTTCAGGTGAAGCGCAACGATTACGTCCACGCGCTGGTGGCCTATTTCAACATCGAGTTCACGCGCTGCCACAAGAGAACCGGCTTCTCCACCAGTAATTTGGGGCAAAAAACACAAATTTTGGGCAATTTGGGATTTTTGGGAATTTTTTGGGATTTTTTGGGTGGTTTTTAGGGGTTTTTTTGTGATTTTTTGGGGGTTTTTTGGGGTTTTTCTGTCCCACTTCAACATCGAGTTCACGCGCTGCCACAAGCCCAGCGGCTTCTCCACCAGTAATTTGGGGCAAAAAAACGCAAATTTTGGGCAATTTGGGAAATTTGGGAATTTTTTGGGATTTTTTTGGTGGTTTTTAGGGGTTTTTTTGTGATTTTTTGGGGATTTTTTTTGGATTTTTCTGTCCTACTTTAACATCGAGTTCAGGCGCTGCCACAAGAGAACCGGCTTCTCCACCAGTAATTTGGGGCAAAAAACACAAATTTTGGGCAATTTGGGAAATTTGGGAATTTTTTGGGATTTTTTAGGGGAATTTTTTGGGGTTTTTTGGGGATTTTTTGGGTGGTTTTCTGTCCTACTTTAACATCGAGTTCACGCGCTGCCACAAGAGAACCGGCTTCTCCACCAGTAATTTGGGGCAAAAAACACAAATTTTGGGCAATTTGGGAAATTTGGGAATTTTTTGGGATTTTTTGGGTGGTTTTTAGGGGTTTTTTCAGGATTTTTTGGGGATTTTTCTGTCCCACTTCAACATCGATTTCAGGTGCTGCCACAAGCCCAGCGGCTTCTCCACCAGTAATTTGGGGCGAAAAACCCGAATTTTGGGCAATTTGGGATTTTTGGGAATTTTTTGGGATTTTTTGGGTGGTTTTTAGGGGTTTTTTTGGGGATTTTTTGGGGATTTTTCTGTCCCACTTCAACATCGAGTTCACGCGCTGCCACAAGAGAACCGGCTTCTCCACCAGTAATTTGGGGCAAAAAACGCAAATTTTGGGCAATTTGGGATTTTTGGGAATTTTTTGGGATTTTTTGGGTGGTTTTTAGGGGTTTTTTGGGATTTTTTTTGGGATTTTTTGGATTTTTCTGTCCCATTTCAACATCGAGTTCACGCGCTGCCACAAGAGAACCGGCTTCTCCACCAGTAATTTGGGGCAAAAAACGCAAATTTTGGGCAATTTGGGAATTTTTTGGGACTTTTTGGGTGCTTTTTGGGGTTTTTTTGGGGATTTTTTGGGAATTTTTTGGGGGTTTTCTGTCCCACTTCAACATCGATTTCAGGCACTGCCACAAGAGAACCGGCTTCTCCACCAGTAATTTGGGGCAAAAAACGCAAATTTTGGGCAATTTGGGATTTTTGGGAATTTTTTGGGATTTTTTGGGTGGTTTTTAGGGGTTTTTTTTGTGGTTTTTTGGGGATTTTTTGGGGATTTTTCTGTCCCACTTCAACATTGAGTTCAGGTGCTGCCACAAGCCCAGCGGCTTCTCCACCAGTAATTTGGGGCAAAAAACACAAATTTTGGGCAATTTGGGATTTTTTGGGATTTTTTGGGTGGTTTTTAGGGGTTTTTTTGTGATTTTTTGGGGATTTTTTGGGGTTTTTCTGTCCCACTTCAACATCGAGTTCACGCGCTGCCACAAGAGAACCGGCTTCTCCACCAGTAATTTGGGGCAAAAAACGCGAATTTTGGGCAATTTGGGATTTTTGGGAATTTTTTTGGATTTTTTAGGGGAATTTTTTGGGGTTTTTTGGGGATTTTAGGGGTGGTTTTCTGTCCCACATCGACATCGGGTTCACGCGCTGCCACAAGCCCAGCGGCTTCTCCAGCAGGAATTTGGGGCAAAAAACGCGAATTTTGGGCAATTTGGGAAATTTGGGAATTTTTTGGGATTTTTTGGGTTGTTTTTAGGGGTTTTTTTGGGGATAATTTGGGATTTTTCTGGCCTATTTCAACATCGAGTTCACGCGCTGCCACAAGAGAACCTGCTTCTCCACCAGTAATTTGGGGCAAAAAACGCAAATTTTGGGCAATTTGGGATTTTTGGGAATTTTTTGGGTCTTTTTTGGGGGGTTTCGGGGTTTTTTTGGGGGTTTTGGGGTTTTTTTAAGGGAAAAACCGCTGAAAAGGGAGGAAAAAGGGAAAAAAAAAGAAAAAATATCAGGGAAAAAGAGATTAAAAAATGCTGAAAAAAATAGCAGAAAATGGGAGAAAAAGGGGTAAAAAATAGCTCAAAAAATCAGAAAAAAATAGCTAAAAATCAGAAAAAAAATGCTAAAAATTCAGAAAAAAATAGCTGAAAATTTCAGGAAAAAAAGCTAAAAAATACAGAAAAAATAGCTCAAAAAATCAGAAAAAAATAGCTCAAAAATCAGAGAAAAAAGCTAAAAAATTCAGAAAAAATAGCTAAAAAATCAGAAAAAAATAGTTAAAAATTCAGAAAAAAATAGCTAAAAAATCAGAAAAAATAGCTAAAAAATTAGAAAAAAATAGCTAAAAAATCAGAAAAAAATGCTAAAAAATTCAGAGAAAATAGCTAAAAAACTGAAAAAAATGCTAAAAAATCAGGGAAAAAAGCTAAAAAATAAGAGAAAGAAGCTAAAAAATCAGAAAAAAATAGCTACGAAATCAGGAAAATATAGCTAAAAAATTCAGAAAAAATAGCTAAAAAATCAGAAAAAAATGCTAAAAAATTCAGAAAAAACTGCTAAAAAATCAGAAAAAGCCAAAAAAATCAGAAAAAAATAGCTAAAAATTCAGAAAAAAATAGCTTAAAAATCAGGAAAAAAATAGCTAAAAAATCACAAAAAAAAGGTGAAAAAATCAGAAAAAAAATGCTAAAAAATCAGAAAAAAATGCTAAAAACTCGGGGTAAAAAACTAAAAAAAAGGGATAAAAGGCAGGGTGGGTTCCCCTGATTTTGGGCTGATTTTTGGGGTGATTTTGTCTAATTTTGGGTAATTTTTCAGGCCCCGAGTCGCCGTACACGCACTGGAAACAAACCGTGTTCTACATGGAGGGAAAAACAGCTGAAAAATGGGGGAAAAAAGTGAAAAAATCGGGGGAAAAGGGGATTAAAAATGCTGAAAAAAATCAGCAAAAATTGGGGAGGAAATAGCTCAAAAAATCAGAAAAAATAGCTAAAAATTCAGAAAAAACTCAGAAAAAAATAGCTAAAAAATCAGAATAAAATAGTTAAAAATTCAGAAAAAAATGCTAAAAAATCAGAAAAAAAATAGCTAAAAATTCAGGAAAAAATAGCTAAAAAATCAGAAAAAAATGCTAAAAAAATTAGGAAAAAAAGCTAAAAAATTAGAAAAAAATACGAAAAAAATCAGAAAAAATAGCTCAAAAAATCAGAAAAAAATAGCTAAAAAATCGGAAAAAAATAGCTCAAAAATCAGAGAAAAAAGCTAAAAAATTCAGAAAAAAATAGCTAAAAATCAGAAAAAAATAGCTAAAAAATCAGAGAAAAAAGCTAATACTTTCAGAAAAAAATAGCTAAAAAATCAGAAAAAAAATGCTAAAAAATCAGAAAAAAGTGCTAAAATTCAGAATAAAAAGCAGGGCGATTTTCCCTGATTTTGGGCTGATTTTTGGGGTAATTTTGGGCTGTTTTGGGCAATTTTCCAGGCCCCGAGTCGCCGTATACGCACTGGAAACAAACCGTGTTCTACATGGAGGGAAAAACAGCCGAAAAATGGGGGAAAAAGCGAAAAAAATCGGGGGAAAAGGGATTAAAAATGGTGAAAAAAATACTGAAAAAATCAGCAAAAATTGGGGAGGAAATAGCTCAAGAAATCAGAAAAAAATAGCTAAAAAATCAGACAAAAATGCGAAAAAATCAGAAAAAATAGCTAAAAAATCAGAAAAAAATGCTAAAAAATCAGAGAAAAAAGCTAAAAAATCAGGAAAAAAATAGTTCAAAAATACAGAATAAAATGCGAAAAAAATCAGAAAAAATGCTAGAAAATCAGAAAAAAATGCTAAAAAATCAGAGAAAAAAGCTAAAACCTCGGGGTAAAGTGAGGGTGGTTTTCCCTGATTTTTGGGTGATTTTTGTCTGATTTTGGGTGATTTTCCAGGCCCGAGTCGCCGTATACGCACTGGAAACAAACCGTGTTCTACATGGAGGGAAAAACAGCCGAAAAATGGGGGAAAAAGCGAAAAAATCGGTGGAAAAGGGATTAAAAAGGCTGAAAAAAAAATCAGCAAAAAACTGGGGAGGAAATAGCTCAAAAAATCAGAAAAAAATAGCTAAAAAATCAGAAAAAAATACAAAAAATTAGAAAAAATAGCTAAAAAATCAGAAAAAAATGCTAAAAAATCAGAGAAAAAAGCTAAAAACTCGGGGTAAAAGGCAGGGTGGGTTCCCCTGTTTTTTGGGTGATTTTGTCTGGTTTTTGGGTGATTTTCCAGGCCCCGAGTCGCCGTACACGCACTGGAAACAAACCGTGTTCTACATGGAGGAGTACCTGACCGTGAAGAGCGGAGAGGAAATTTTCGGCACCATCACCATGAAACCCAACGCCAAAAACAACGTGAGCCCTCGGATTGGGGCTTTTTTGGGGGTTTTTGGGAGTTTTTGGGGTTTTTTGGGGTTTTTTGGGAGTTTTTTCTGGGGTTTTTTGGGGTCTTTTTTCCATTTAAATTTTGGGTTATGGCGGGTTTTGGTCAGTAGGGGGCGACACCATTTGGGTTTGGAGACCCAAAATTTGGGGGTTTTGACCCAAAATTTGGGGGTTCTGACCCAAATTTGGGGTTTGGAGACCCAAAATTTGGGGGTTCTGACCCAAAATTGGGGTTTGAGATCCAAAATTGGGGTTTGAGACCCAAAATTGGGGTTGGAGACCCAAAATCGGGATTTGGCGTCCCAAAATTGGGAAGTTCTGACCCAAAATTGGGGAGTTCTGACCCAATTTGGGGTTTGAGATACAAAATTGGGGTTTGAGATCCAAAATTGGGGTTTGAGACCCAAAATTGGGGGGTTCTGACCCAAAATTGGGGTTTGAGATCAATAATTGGGGTTTGAGATCCAAAATTGGGGGATTCTGACCCAAAATTGGGGTTTGGAGACCCAAAATTGGGGTTTGGAGACTCAAAATTGGGGTTTGGAGACCCAAAATTGGGGTTTGGAGACCCAAAATTTGGGGGTTCTGACCCAAAATTGGGGTTTGATACCCAAAATTGGGGTTTGAGACCCAAAATTGGGGTCTGAGACCCAAATTGGGGAGTTCTGACCCAAATTTGGGGGGTTCTGACCCAAAATTGGGGTTTGAGATACAAAATTGGGATTTGGGGACCCAAAATTGAGATTTTGGGATCCAAAATTGGAGTTTCCCACCCAAATTTGGGGGTTTCAGACCCAAAATTGGGATTTAGGGACCAAAACTTGGGCTGGGGGACACCTGAAGTAAATTTGGGGTAAATTTGGGGATTTTAGGGACATTTTGGGATAAATGGGAGGATTTTGAGGGGATTTTGGGGTCAAATTTGGGATTTTGGGGGAGGATTTTCAATTTTGGGGCAATTTTGGGGTTTTACTTGGGATTTGGGGGGGTAAATTCAGGGATATTTGGGTGGAATTTTGGGGTAAATTTGGCGATTTTTGGGCTGATTTTCAGTCTGGGGGATTTGGGGATTTCTGTGCATTTCTGGATGACCCAAAATCCCAATTTTTTACCCCAAAAGCGCGACCTGGACTTCACCATCGACCTGGACTTCAAGGGGCAGCTCTGTGAACTCTCCTGTTCCACCGACTACCGCATGCGTTAGGGACCCCAAAATCCGCGGAATTCACCCCAAAAACGCCCCAAACCCACCCCCAAAAAATCCCAAAAAAAACCCCAAAAAAATCCCCCAAAAACCCCAAAAAAACCCCAAAAAATCAAAAAAAACCCCAAAATTGGGGCCGCTGCAGTTCCCGTCCTTCACCACGTGGGGGCGACAAAATCCCAAAATTTGGGGTTTTTTCCCCAATTTGGGACCCGAATTTTTTGGGTTTTTGGGTTTTTTTTGTTTTTCTGTTTTCAGCTCCAAATTTTTGGGGTTTTCCCGATTTTGGGACCGCGAATTTTGGGGGTTTTTCCCTTAATTTGGGACTCGAATTTTTGGGTTTTTTCCCTTAATTTTGGGACCCCAAAACTGTCTCCTGACCCCAAATTTTGGGGTTTTTTTCCCCATTTTGGGACCCCAAATTTTGGAATTTTTTGTTCATTTTGGGACCCCAAAATTCTTGTTTTTTCCCCCATTTGGGAACCCCAAATTTTGGGGGTTTTTCCTCATTTTGGGACCCGATTTTTTTGGGATTTGACCCTTAAATTTGGGGTGTTTTCCCCACTTTGTGACCCCCAAATTTTGGAGTTTTTTTCCTTTTTATTTGACCCAAAATTTTGGGTTTTTCCTCATTTGAGACCCAAATTTTTGATTTTTTTTTTTCCCCAAATTTTGACGGTTTTGCCCCATTTTCTTCCCCAATTTTTGGGGGTTTTTTTTCCCTTTTTGACAACCCCCAAATTTTGTATTTTTTTTTCTTTTTTCCCAAATTTTCGGGGTTTTTCCCTAAATTTTTTTTTGGGATTTCGGGAATCCCTAAATTTTTTTTCCCCCAAAATTTGGGGTCCTCACCTCGACCCCCCCCAAAAAAAATTCGGGAAATTCCCAATTCTTTCCCCTCCCCCATCCCAAATTTTGGGGTTTTTTGGGCCGTTTTTCCCTCCCCTCCCCCCGCGGAATTTTGGGGTGGGGGAGGGGAAATTTTGGGGTGGGGGAGGGGAATTTTGGGGTCCCCCCCCCCCCCGAATTTGGGGGGTCGGGGCCGCCCCTCCCCCCCCTTTGTAACTTATGTTTTTATATCAAATAAAAGCAAATAAAGGGGGAGGGGCTCCGCCTCCACTTTTTGGGGTCCCAAAATTTTTGGGGGGGGTCCCAAAATTTTTTGGGGGGTGGGGGAGGGGTCGGTGTCATCCGGGGGGGGCCCGAAATTCCCCAAAATTTTTTTTTTTTTTTTTTTTTTTTTGGGGTTGAAAATTTGGAAAAATCTCCAAAAAATCGGGGGGGAGGGGAAAATTTGGGGGGGTCCCTAAAATTTGGGGGAGATCAAAATGGGGTGGTCCAAAATTTGGGGGAGGTCCCTAAAATTTTGGGGGGATCCTTGGAGAAATTTGGGGGAGGGGAAAAATTTGGGGGGGGATCCAAAATTTGGGGGGGAGGGGTCAAAATTTGGGGGGGATCCCTAAAATTTGGGGGGAGGGGTCAAAAATTTGGGGGGGTCCCTAAAATTTGCGGGAATGGGTCAAAAATTTGGGGGAGGGGTCAAAAATTTGGGGGGAGGGGAAAAAATTTTGGGGGGGTCCCTAAAATTTTGGGGGGTCCCTAAATTGGAGAAGGGCCCAAATTTGGGGGGAGGGTCCTAAAATTTTGGGGAGGGGTCCAAAATTTGGGGGGGGGGAATCCAAAATTTGGGGGGGTCCCTAAAATTTGGGGGGGATCCAAATTGGAAAAGGGCCCAAATTTGGGGGGGAGGGGTCAAAAATTTGGGGAGGAGGGGAAAAATTGGGGGGGTCCCCAAAATTTTAGGGGGATCCAAAGTTTGGGGGGGAGGATCCAAAATTTGGGGGGGAGGGATCAAAATTTGGGGGGTAGGCAAAAAATTTTGGGGGGCCCTAAAATTTGGGGGGGTGAAAAATTTGGGGGGGGACCCAAAATTTGGGGGGGGGTCAAAAATTTTGGGGGGGGTGAAAAATTTGGGGGGGGAGGGGTCAAAAATTTTGGGGGGGTGAAAAATTTGGGGGGGAGGGGTCAAAAATTGGGGGGGGATCCAAAATTTGGGGGGGGGAATTGGGGGGGGTCCCTAAAATTTTGAGGGGGTGAAAAATTTGGGGGGGGGAGGGTCAAAAATTTGAGGGGGATCCAAAATTTGGGGAGGGTCCAAAATTTGGGGGGGGAGGGGTCAAAAATTTGAGGGGGGGATCCAAAATTTGGGGGGTGGGGAGGGCGGGAATTTTTTGGGGTTCCCAAATTTTTTTGGGGGTGGGGGGGGCAGAACCGGTTTGGGGGGGAGGTTACGTCATGCGGGGGTGGGGGAGGGGCGGGCGGGGTCCGGGTGGGGGAGGGGCGGGCGGTTCGGGGGGGGAGGGGCCGCACCTGACCCCGCCCGCCCCTCCCCCACCCCCCCACGGGCTCAGGTGCGGCGGCGGCGGCGGCAGGTGAGGGTGGGGGAGGGGCGGGAGGGGATTTTGGGGGTTTTTGGGGGTTCGGGGGTGGGGAGGGGCGGGGGTGTTGGCGGGACCCCTCCCCCACCTCTGAACACCCCCGCCCCTCCCCCCCTTAAAACCCCCCAAAAAAACACCCCCGCCCCTCCCCCACCCCTAAAAACCTTCCCCGCCCCTCCCCCACCCTTAAAACCCCCCCGCCCCTCCCCCACCCCTGAAAAAAATCCAAAATTTAAATTTTTTAATGGACAAAAAAAAAAACCAAAAATGAGAAAAATTTCCCCCGGAGGAATTTTGTAAAAAAATTGAGGAATTTTTTTTAAATTGCCAAAAAAAAAAAGAAAAAATTTAGTTTGAAGTTGAAATTTCTAAAAAATGGGGGGAAAAAGAAAAAAAGGGAAAATTTCTCCAAATTCCCACATGGAAAAAATAGCAAATTTAAAATATGAACCAAAAAAAAATTCTGGGATTTGAATTTAAATTTTAAAAATGAAAAGATCCCAACAAAAAAATTTAAAAACTAAAATTTTCCCCAAATCCCCACCTGAAAAAATAGAAAATTTAAAATAAGAACTAAAAAAATCCCAGAATTTGAATTTAAATGTAAAAAATGAGAAAGATCAAAAAAAAAAATTAAAAAACTAAAAATTTCCCCAAATCCCCACCTGAAAAAATAGAAAATTTAAAATAAGAACTAAAAAAAAGAGCAAAGAATTTAAATTTAAATTTAAAAAATAAAAAAAATCCCCCCAAAAATTAATAAAAAAACTAAAAATTTCCCCAAATCCCCACCCGAAAAAAAGATTTTTTAAAAAATCCCAAAAGGCCCCAAATTCTCCCCAAATCTTCCAAAAAAAAAAAACAAAAATAAAAAAAAAAAAATTCCCAAAAATTTCCCAGATTTACCAGAGGAAAAAAATCCTGAAATAAAACGAACAAATTCCCAAAAAAACCTCCCCAAAAATCCCAAAATTATCCCAAATTCTCCCCAAAAATCCCAAAATCTCCCCAAAATCTTCCCAAAAAATCCCAAAATTATCCCAAATACTCCCCAAAATCTAAAAAATTACCTAAAATCTCCTCAAAAATCCCAAAATCTCCCAAAAATTCCAAATTTATCCCAAAAATCCCCAAATTATCCCAAAATCTCCCCAAAAATCCCAAAATTATCCCAAAATCCCAAATTTTTTTGTCCCTTCGCGTCCTTGGGGGAGTTTGGGGGAATTTTTGGGTTTTGTGGAATTTTTGGGGGGATTTTTGGAGGATTTTGAGCGGATTTTAGGGAGAATTTGGGATTTTGGGGGATTTCGAGGAAGTTTTTTTGGGAATTTGGGCAGATTTTGGGGGGAATTTTGGGGAATTCTGGGGGGATTTCGATGGGGATTTTTGGGCGGATTTGGGGACGGATTTTCGGGATTTCCGTGCGGATTTTGGGACGGATTTGGGGACGGATTTTCGGGAATTCGGGTTGGATTTCGGGATGGATTTTTGGGAATTCTGTGCGGATTTGGGGACGGATTTTTGGGAATTCTGGGCAGATTTCAATGGGGATTTTTGGGAATTCTGTTTGGATTTGGGGACGGATTTTCGGGAATTCCAGTCGGATTTGGGGATGGATTTGGGGACGGATTTTGGGAATTCTGTGTGGATTTCAGGATGGATTTTTGGGGAATTCCTTGCGGATTTTGGGACGGATTTTGGGATGGATTTTCGGGAATTCCGGTTGGATTTGGGGACGGATTTTTGGGAATTCTGGTTAGATTTTGATGGGGATTTTCAGGAATTCCGTGCGGATTTGGACAGATTTTGGGACAGATTTTGGGAATTCTGTGCGGATTCGGGACGGATTTTGGGAATTCTGGGCAGATTTCGATGGGGATTTTTGGGTGGATTTCGATGGGGATTTTCGGGAATTCCTTACAGATTTCGGGACGGATTTGGGGATGGATTTGGGGACAGATTTTTGGGAATTCCGGATGGATTTTGGGACGGATTTTTGGGAATTTCAGACAGATTTCGATGGGGATTTTTGGGTGGATTTGGGGACGGATTTTCGGGATTTTGGGGCAGATTTTGATGGGGATTTTTGGGTGGATTTCGATGGGGATTTTTGGGATGGATTTTTGGGAATTCTGTTTGGATTTTGGGACAGATTTTGGGACGGATTTTCGGGAATTCCGTGTGGATTTGGGACAGATTTCGGGATGGATTTTTGGGATTTCCGTGCGGATTTGGGACAGATTTGGGGATGGATTTTGGGACGGATTTTCGGGAATTCCAGTCGGATTTGGGGGATGGATTTGGGGACGGATTTTGGGAATTCTGTGTGGATTTTGGAACGGATTTTGGGATGGATTTTGGGACGGATTTTGGGACAGATTTTGGGAATTCTTTACGGATTTGGGACGGATTTTTGGGATTTCTGGCAGATTTCGATGGGATTTTTGGGATGATTTCGATGAGGATTTTTGGGATAGATTTCGGGGATGGATTTTTGGGAATTCTGTGCGGATTTTGGGACGGATTTTCAGGAATTCCGGGCAGATTTCAATGGGGATTTTCGGGAATTCCAGGCGGATTTCAATGGGGATTTTTGGGCGGATTTCAATGGGGATTTTTGGGATGATTTCGGGACAGATTTGGGGACGGATTTTCGGGAATTCCTTACAGATTTTTTCCGTATTTTTGGGATTCCAGGATGTCGTGCGGGGAGAGGAGCAGATTTTGGGACGGATTTTCAGGATTTCTGGGCAGATTTCGATGGGGATTTTTGGGATTTTTGGGTGGATTTGGGGACGGATTTTTGGGAATTCCGTGCAGATTTGGGGATGGATTTTTGGGAATTCTGTGCGGATTTGGGGACGGATTTTGGGACAGATTTCGGGACGGATTTTCGGGAATTCCGTGCAGATTTGGGACGGATTTTGGGACGGATTTTTGGGAATTCCAGGCAGATTTCGATGGGGATTTTTGGGATTTCCAGGCAGATTTCGATGGGATTTTCGGGAATTCCGGGCGGATTTGGGGACGGATTTTGGGGAATTCAGTTTGGATTTCGGGACGGATTTTGGGAATTTCTTGCAGATTTGGGACAGATTTTCGGGATTTCTGGGCAGATTTCGATGGGGATTTTTGGGTGGATTTGGGGATGGATTTTTGGGAATTCCTTGCGGATTTGGGGACGGATTTTTGGGAATTCCGTGCGGATTTTGGGATGGATTTTGGGCTGGATTTTTGGGATTTCTGGGCAGATTTCGATGGGGATTTTTGGGATGATTTCGGGACAGATTTGGGGACGGATTTTCGGGAATTCCTTACAGATTTTTTCCGTATTTTTGGGATTCCAGGATGTCGTGCGGGTACTTCCAGCACCGGGGGGTGACGTTCCCGGGGCTCCTTTACTCCCCCCGGGGCCTCGAGGCCGCCCGAGAATTCCCCGTGGAGGACGACGACGTCTTCAACGTCACCTACCAGAAATCCGGTCAGATTTGGGGTGAAAACGCGGGAATTTGGGAAAATCACGGAATTTGGGGGGAAATCCCTGAATTTGGGGAAAAATCACGGAATTTTGGGGGGAAAATCACAGAATTTGGGGGGAAAATTGAAAAATTATGGGGGAAAAAGAGTGGGAGGTGCCCCAAAATCCGGTCAGATTTGGGGTGAAAATACGGGAATTTGGGAAAATCCTGGAATTTGGGGGCAAATCCCAGAATTTGGGGCAAAAATCCAAAAATTACAGGGGAGAAATCCAAAAATTATGGGGGAAAATTGAAAAATTATGGGGGAAAAAGAGTGGGAGGTGCCCCAAAATCCGGTCAGATTTGGGGTGAAAAAGCGGGAATTTGGGAAAATCCCGGAATTTGGGGGGAAATCCCCGAATTTTGGGGGGGAATACAAAAATTATGGGGGAAAATCCAAAAATTACGGAGAAAAATCCAGAAATTATGGGGAAAAAGAGTGGGAGGTGCCCCAAAATCCGGTCAGATTTGGGGCAAAAACACGGATTTTGGGAAAATCCCGGAATTTGGGGGAAATCCCAAAATATGGAGGGGAAAATCCCCAAATTTGGGGGGGAAAATCACGGAATTCGGGGGAAAATCCAGAAATTACAGGAGAAAAAGAGTGGGAGATGCCCTGAAATCGGGTCAGCTCTGGGGGAAAAACCCGGATTTTGGGAAAATTCCCCCCAAAAAATTCCAGAAATTCCGGAATTTGAGTTTTTTCCCCAAAAAACACCCCAAAAAAGGGAAAAATTCCCAAAATTCCCATTTTTCAGGAACGGTGTGGATGCTGGAGATCCTGAGCCTGATCCTCCGTGACGGGGACCCCAAATACCCCAAAAACCATGAAACAAACCCCAAAAAAATCACTATAAAACCAAAAAAAATCGCTATAAAACCCCCAAAAAATGGGAAAAATTCCCAAAATTCCCAAAATTCCCATTTTTTAGGGATGCTGGAGATCCTGAGCCTGATCTGGTAGCGTGACCACCACAAATACCCCAAAAAATCACTAAAAAATCCCAAAAAATCACTATAAAACCCAAAAAAATCGCTATAAAACCCCCCAAAAATTGCCAAAAATTCCCAAAAAATTTCCCAAAATTCCTGAAATTCCTGTTTTCCAGGAACGGTGTGGATGCTGGAGATCCTGAGCCTGATCTGGCAGGGCGACCACCACAAATACCCCAAAAACCATGGGAAAATCACCATAAAATCACCATAAAATCACCAAAAATTGCCAAAATTCACCAAAAAAACGGGAAAAATTCCCAAAAAACTGGGAAAAATTCCAGAAATTCCCAAAATTCCCATTTTTCAGGAACGGTGTGGATGCTGGAGATCCTGAGCCTGATCCTCCGTGACGGGGACCCCAAATACCCCAAAAACCATGGGAAAATCACCATAAAATGGCCATAAAATCACCAAAACTCGCCAAAAAATCACCAAAAATCCCCCAAAAAAACGGGAAAAATTCCAAAAAAAATGGGAAAATTCCCAAAATTCCCATTTTTTAGGGACGGTGTGGATGCTGGAGATCCTGAGCCTGATCCTGCGGGACGGGGACCCCAAATCTGGGGCAGAGACCCCAAATACCCAAAATCCATGTAACAACCCCCAAGAAACAACAAAAAATCACCAAAAATCCCTAAAAAAAGGCCGAAATTCCCCAGAAAAAGGGGAAAAAATCCTAAAAATTCCGGAATTCCCATTTTTTTCTAGGGCTGGTGTGGATGCTGGAGATCCTGAGCCTGATCTGGCAGGGTGACCACCACAAATACCCCAAAAAATCCCCAAAAAAATCACTAAAAAACCCAAAAAAATCGCTCTAAAACCTCCCAAAAATGGGGAAAATTCCAAAAAAAAAAGGGAAAAATTCCCGAAATTCCCGTTTTTTCCAGGGACGGTGTGGATGCTGGAGATCCTGAGCCTGATCCTGCGTGGGGGTGACCCCTCCTGGTGCCGTTCGGTGCCCAGCTGGGAGCGCGGCCCGTGGCTGGAGACGCTCCCGGGGCTGCGCCGCGCCCGGATCAACGCGAGACCGAGAATCCTCAGCTCCCACCTGCCCGCGCCGCTATTCCCGAGGGCGTTTTTTAATTCCAAGGCCAAGGTGGGGGAAAAATTGGGATGGGGAAAAAAATTGGGAAATTTCGGTGAAAAAATGAAGTTTCTAGGTGAAAAAATGACGTTTTTACGGGGAAAAATGTCAATTTTTTAAAGGTTTTCTCATGGAAAAAATGGGTTTTTAGGGGAAAAATAGGACTTTTACAGGGAAAAATGGGATTTTTGAGGGTTTTCCGTGGAAAAAATGGGGTTTTTAGGTGAAAAAATGAGGTTTTTAGAGGGAAAAATGTCGTTTTTTTGGAGGTTTTTGCGTGGAAAAATGGGGTTTTTAGGGGGGAAAATGGGATGTTTACGGGGAAAAATGGGATTTTTTTTTAAGGTTTTGTGAGGGAAAATGGGGAATTTGGGTGGAAAAATGAGGAATTTGGGTGAAAAAAATGGAGGTTTTAGGTGAAAAAATGAGGTTTTTAGAGGGAAAAATGGCATTTTTTTGGAGAGTTTTGTGTAGAAAGAATGGGGATTTCAAGGGAGGGACTGGGGGGAAATGGGAAATTTGGTAGGAAAATGAAGTTTTTGGGTGAAAAAATGGAGTTTTTTGGTGAAAAAATGAGGATTTTAGGTGAAAAAATGGGGATTTTACAGGGAAAAATGGGATTTTTTTGGAGGGTGTTGCGTGGAAAAAATGGGGTTCTTAGGGGTGAAAATGGGATTTTTCTGGAGGGTTTTGGATGAAAAAATGGGGTTTTTAGGTGAAAAAATTAAGTTTTTAGGTGAAAAAATGGGGTTTTTAGAGGGAAAAATGTCAATTTTTTGGAGGGTTTTGCGTGGAAAGAATGGGGTTTTTAGGGGGGGAAAATTAGATTTTTGGGTGAAAAAATGGGAAATTTGGGTGAAAAAAATTGTGGTTTTAGGAGGAAAAATGGGGGTTTTAGGTGAGAAAAAGGGTTTTTAGGGGGGAAATGGGGTTTTTAGGGGGAAAATGGGGTTTTTTGGAGGGTTTTGGGTGTTAAAAACGGCGAGGCCGAGAATCCTCAGCTCCCACCTGCCCGCGCCGCTCTTCCCGAGGGCGTTCTTCAATTCCAAGGCCAAGGTGGGGAAAAAAACCTGAAATTTGGGGTGGGGAAAAAAAATCGGGATTTTTGGGTGAAAAAATGAAGTTTTTTGGTGAAAAAATGGAGTTTTTTGGTGAAAAAATGACATTTTTACGGGGAAAAATGTCATTTTTTTGAAGGTTTTTGTGTGGAAAAAATGGGGTTTTTAGGGGGAAAAATAGGATTTTTACAGGGAAAAATGGGATTTTTTGAGGGTTTTCCGTGGAAAAAATGGGGTTTTTAGGTGAAAAAATGCGGTTTTTAGGTGAAAAAATGGGATTTTTAGGGGGAAAATGAGGTTTTTGGGGGGGAAAATGGGTTTTTAGAGGGAAAAATGGGGATTCAACAGGGAAAAATGGGGGTTTTTTGAAGGGTTTTGTGTGGAAAAAATGGGGTTTTTAGGTGGAAAAATGGGGTTTTTAGGTGACAAATTGGGGTTTTTCAGTGAAAAAATGGGGTTTTTAGGGGAAAATGGGGTTTTTTTGGAGGGTTTTGGGTGTTAAAAACGGCGCGGATCAACGCGCGGCCGCGGATCCTCAGCTCCCACCTGCCCGCGCCGCTGTTCCCGAGGGCGTTTTTTAATTCCAAGGCCAAGGTGAGGGGAAAAAATCGGGATTTTTGGGGAAAAAATCGGGATTTTTGGGTGAAAAAATGAAGTTTTTTGGTGAAAAAATGAAGTTTTTAGGTGAAAAAATGGGGATTTTAGAGGGAAAAATGTCATTTTTTTGGAGGTTTTTGTGTGGAAAAAATGGGTTTTTAGGGGGGAAAATGTCAAGTTTTTGGAGGGTTTTGTGGGGAGAAAATGGGGAATTTGGGTGAAAAAATTAAGTTTTTAGGTGAAGAAATGGGGTTTTAGGTGAAAAAATGGGGATTTTAGAGGGAAAAATGGGGGTTTTAGGGGGGAAAACGTCAATTTTTTTGGAGGTTTTTGCGGGGGGTAAATGGGGTTTTAGGTAAAAAAGGGGGAATTTGGGTTAAAAAATTGAGTTTTCTGGTGAAAAAATTGGGTTTTAGGTGAAATAAATGAGGTTTTTAGAGGGAAAAATGGGGTTTTTACAGGGAAAAATGTCAATTTTTTTGGGAGGGTTTTGCATGGAAAAAATGGGGTTTTTAGGGGGAAAATGGTGAGGGAAAAAACATCGGGATTGGGTGAGGGAAAGATAAATGGGAAATTTGGGTGAAAAAATGGGAAATTTGAGTGAAAAAATGGGGTTTCTAGGTGAAAAAATGACGTTTTTAAGGGGAAAAATGTCAATTTTTTGGAGGTTTTCTCATGGAAAAAATGGGGTTCTTAGGGGGCAAAATGGGGGTTTTAGAGGGGAAGATGTCATTTTTTTGGAGGGTTTTCTGTGGAAAAAATTGGATTTATAGGTGAAAAAATGAGGTTTTTAGGTGAAAAAATGGTGTTTTTACAGGGAAAAATTGAGTTTTTAGGTGAAAAAATGAGGTTTTTACAGGGGAAAATGGGATTTTTATTGAGGCTTTTGCGGGGAAAAATGGGGAATTTGGGTGAAAAAAATGGAAGTTTTAGGGGGAAAAATGGGGTTTCTACAGGGAAAAATGGGGGTTTTTGGAGGGTTTTGCGTGGAAAAAATGGGTTTTTTAGGGGGGAAATGGGAAATTTGGGGGGAAAAAATTGGAAAATTTGGGTGAAAAAAAGAAGTTTTTTGGTGAAAAAATGAAGTTTTTAGGTGAAAAAATGGGGATTTTAGAGGGAAAAATGTGGATTTTACAGGGATTTATGTGGGATTTGGGTCAGAAATGTCGGATTTTTATCGGATTTGGGTCAGAAATGTCAGATTTGGGTCAGAAATGTCGGATTTGGGTCAGAAATGTCCCAATTTTTATGGGATTTTGGGTCAGAAATGTCGGATTTTTGTGGGATTTTGGGTCAGAAATGTCGGATTTGGGTCAGAAATGTCCCATTTTTATGGGATTTGGGTCAGAAATGTCGGATTTGGGTCAGAAATGTCGGATTTGGGTCAGAAATGTCCCATTTTTGTGGGATTTGGGTCAGAAATGTCGGATTTGGGTCAGAAATGTCGGATTTTTTTGGGATTTTGGGTCAGAAATGTCCCATTTTTATGGGATTTGGGTCAGAAATGTCAGATTTTTATGGGTTTTTGGCTCAGAAATGTCAGATTTGGGTCAGAAATGTCGGATTTTTGTGGGATTTAGGTCAGAAATGTCCCATTTTTGTGGGATTTGGGTCAGAAATGTCGGATTTGGGTCAGAAATTTCAGATTTTGGGTCAGAAATGTCCCATTTTTATGGGATTTTGGGTCAGAAATGTCGGATTTTTATGGGATTTGGGTCAGAAATGTGGGATTTTTTTGGGATTTTTTGCGCCGGCAGCCCCAGGGGCCGCGGCAGATTTTGGGATTTTGGGGATTTTTTTTGATTTTTTGGGAATTTTGGGATTTTTTCCAGGTGATTTACACGGTGCGGGACCCCAAGGACGTCCTGGTGTCCCTTTTCCATTTCTCGCGGATTTTCCGACCCTACAAAGACCCCGGGAGCCTCCCGGAGTTCATGGAGAAGTTCCTGCGCGGAGACGGTGCCAAATCGGGGGAAAAAAGGGCGATTTTGGGAAAAACGGGGATTTTGGGAGATTTGGGGAAAATGGGGAGATTTGTGGAATTTTGGGTTTTTTTGGGGGGAACTTGGGGATTTTGGGGGAGATTTGGGGGGAATTTGGGGAGATTTGGGGATTTTGGGGGAATTTGGGGGGGTCTTGGGGATTTTTTGGGAGATTTGGGGATTTTGGGGGAGATTTGGGGAATTTTGGGGGGATTTTGGGGAATTTTGGGGAGATTTGGGGAATTTTGGAGGAGATTTGGGGATTTTGATGGAGGTTTGGGAATTTGGGGGAATTTTGGGGAGATTGGGGAATTTGGGGAGATTTGGGGAATTTTGGGGGAGATTTGGGGAAAATTGGGGAGATTTGGGGAAAATTGGGGAGATTTGGGGAATTTTGGGGGATTTTGGGGAATTTGGGGAATTTTGGGGAGATTTGGGGGATTTTGGGGGAGATTGGGGATTTTTTGGGGAGATTTGGGGAATTTTGGGGTATTTAGGGATTTTGATGGAGATTTGGGGATTTTGGGGCAAAATGGGGAGATTTGGGCATTTTGGGGGGATTTTGAGGGAATTTTGGGGGTTTGGGGGAGATATGGGGAATTCTGGGGGGAATTTGGGGGTTTTTTTGGGGAATTTGGGGATTTGGGGGATTTGGGGTCGGAAATTCAGGATTTGGGGTCAGAAATTCAGGATTTGGGCTCAGAAATTCAGGATTTAGGGTCAGAAATTCAGGATTTGGGGTCGGAAATTCAGGATTTGGGCTCAGAAATTCAGGATTTGGGGGTCGGAGGTGCCCGCGGGGTGTCCCCAGCGATGTCCCCAAGTGTCCCCGAGTGTCCCCAAGTGTCCCCAGCCACGTCCCGTGTCCCCAGTGCCCTTCGGCTCCTGGTTCCAGCACGTCCGGGGGTGGCTGCAGCTCCGCGGCCGCGACAATTTCTTCTGGATCAGCTACGAGGAGCTGCAGCAGGTGACACCTGGGGACATTTGGGGACATCTGGGGACATTTGGGGACATTGGGGACATTGGGGACACCTCAATGTCATCCCCAGTGTCACCTCAGGGTCCTCAAACCCAAAAATTCCCCCGAAATCCCCAAATGTCCCCAAAGACACCAAATGTCCCCAATGTCCCCAATGTCCCCAATGTCCCAATGTCCCCAATGTCCCCAATGTCCCAATGTCCCCCCAATGTCCCCAATGTCCCCAATGTCCCCAATGTCCCCGATGTCCCCAATGTCCCCAATGTCCCCAATCCCCCCAATGTCCCCAATCCCCCCAATGTCCCCAATGTCCCAATGTCCCCAATCCCCCAATGTCCCCAATCCCCTCAATGTCCCCAATGTCCCCAATGTCCCCAATGTCCCCAATGTCCCCAATGTCCCCCCCAATGTCCCCAATGTCCCCCAATGTCCCCAATGTCCCCAATGTCCCCAATGTCCCCAATGTCCCCCAATGTCCCCAATGTCCCCCCAATGTCCCCAATGTCCCCCAATGTCCCCAATCCCCCCAATGTCCCCCCAATATCCCCAATGTCCCCAATGTCCCCAATGTCCCCCAATGTCCCCAATTCCCCCCCAATGTCCCCAATGTCCCCAATGTCCCCAATGTCCCCAATGTCCCCAATGTCCCCAATGTCCCCAATGTCCCCAATCCCCCAATGTCCCAATGTCCCCAATGTCCCCAATGTCCCCAATGTCCCCAATGTCCCCAATGTCCCCAATCCCCCCGATGTCCCCGATGTCCCCGATGTCCCCAATCCCCCCAATGTCCCCAATGTCCCCAATGTCCCCCCAATGTCCCCAATCCCCCCAATGTCCCCAATGTCCCCAATGTCCCCAATGTCCCCAATGTCCCCAATGTCCCCAAATGTCCCCAATGTCCCCAATGTCCCCAATCCCCTCAATGTCCCCAATGTCCCCAATCCCCCCAATGTCCCCATTCCCCCCAATGTCCCCAATGTCCCCAATGTCCCAATGTCCCCAATGTCCCCAATCCCCCAATGTCCCCAATCCCCCAATGTCCCCAATGTCCCCAATGTCCCCAATGTCCCCAATCCCCCAATGTCCCCAATGTCCCCAATCCCCCCAATGTCCCCAATGTCCCCAATGTCCCCAATGTCCCCAATGTCCCCAATGTCCCCAATGTCCCCAATGTCCCCCCCAATGTCCCCAATGTCCCCAATGTCCCCAATGTCCCCAATCTCCCCAATGTCCCCAATGTCCCCCCAATGTCCCCAATGTCCCCAATGCCCCCAATGTCCCCAATGTCCCCAATGTCCCCAATGTCCCCAATGTCCCCCCCATGTCCCCAATGTCCCCAATCCCCCCAATGCCCCCAATGTCCCCAATGTCCCCAATGTCCCCAATCCCCCCAGTGTCCCCAATGTCCCCAATGTCCCCAATGTCCCCAATGTCCCCCCAATGTCCCCAATGTCCCCAATCCCCCCAATGTCCCCAATGTCCCCAATGTCCCCAATGTCCCCAATCCCCCCATGTCCCCAATGTCCCCAATGTCCCCAATGTCCCCAATCTCCCCAATGTCCCCAATGTCCCCAATCCCCCCAATGTCCCCAATGTCCCCAATGTCCCCCCCAATGTCCCCAATGTCCCCAATGTCCCCAATGTCCCCAACCCCCCCAATGTCCCCAATGTCCCCAATGTCCCCAATCCCCCCAATGTCCCCAATGTCCCCAATGTCCCCAATGTCCCCGATGTCCCCAATGTCCCCAGGACCTGCGGGGCAGCGTGGAGCGCCTCTGCTCCTTCCTGGGCCGGCCGCTGTCCCCGGCGGCGCTGGACGCGGTGGTGGCCAACGCGTCCTTTGTCACCATGAGCCACAACCCCATGAGCAACTTCAGCCTCAGCCCCACCTTCATCCTGGACCGGCGGCGCGGCCCCTTCCTGCGCAAGGGTGGGACATTGGGGACATTGGGGACATTGGGGACATTGGGGACATTGGGGGACATTGGGGGGATTGGGGGCATTGGGGGGATTGGGGACATTGGGGGAATTGGGGGGATTGGGGACATTGGGGACATTGGGGGGATTGGGGACATTGGGGACATTGGGGGGATTTGGGGACATTGGGGAGATTGGGGGGATTGGGGACATTGAGGGGATTGGGGGGATTTGGGACATTGGGGACATTGGGGACATTGGGGACATTGGGGACATTGGGGACATTGGGGGGATTGGGGACATTGGGGACATTGGGGACATTGGGGACATTGGGGACATTGGGGACATCGGGGACATTGGGGACATTGGGGGACATTGGGGACATCGGGGACATTGGGGACATTGGGGACATTGGGGACATTGGGGACATTGGGGGGACATTGGGGACATCGGGGGGACATTGGGGACATTGGGGACATTGGGGACATTGGGACATTGGGGACATTGGGGGATTGGGGACATTGGGGACATTGGGGACATTGGGGACATTTGGGGGTTTTTCCCACTTTTTGCCCATTTTTTTCCCCATTTTCCCCCTGTGTTTTTCCCATTTCCCCCCATTTTCTCCCCGTATTTTCCCATTTTCCCCCATTTTCTCCCTGTTTTTTCCCATTTCCCCCCATTTCCCCATTTTGCCCATTTCCCCCATTTTCTTTCCACATTTTCCTGGTTTTCCCTGTTTTCTCCCCATTTTTCCCCATTTTCTCCCTCTTTTTCCCATTTTCCCCACTTTTGCCCATTTCCCCCAATTTTCTCCCCATTTTTCCCAATTTCCCCGTTTCCCCATTTTCCCCCATTTTCCCCCATTTTTTTCCCATTTTCCCAATTTTCTCTCCGTTTTTTCCCATTTTCCCCTATTTTCCCCGTTTTCTCCCTGTTTTTTCCCCCCTTTCCCCCCATTTTTTCCCATTTTCTCCCCGTTTTCTCCCCATTTTCCCCATTTTTCCCCATTTCCCCCCATTTTCTCCCCCTTTACCCCCCATTTCCCCAATTTACCCATTTCCCCCCGTTTTTCCCCATTTCCACCCCCCGTTTTTTCCCATTTTTCCCATTTTTGCCCAATTTCCCGCGTTTTGGGCCCGTTTCCCGCAGGGATCTCGGGGGACTGGCGGAACCACCTGAGCCCGGAGCAGAGTCGGCGCTTCGACCGCGTTCTACCGGAGCAGATGCGGGGCTGGGGGTCTCCTTCCCCTGGGACCCCCAAATGAGGGGGTGGACCCCCAAAAATCCCCCCAGGAACCCCAAAATCAGGGGGGAAACCCCCCAGGACCCCCAAAATCAGGGGGAAACCACCCAAAAAACCCCCCAGGAACCCCAAAATCAGGGGGAAACCCCCCAAAAAAAACCCTCAGGAACCCCAAAATCAGGGGGAAACCCCTCAGGACCCCCAAAATCAGGAGGAAACCCCCCAAAAAACCCCCCAGGAACCCCAAAATCAGGGGGAAACCACCCAAAAAACCCCCCAGGACCCCCAAAATGAGGAGGAAACCCCCCAAAAAACCCCCCAGGACCCCCAAAATCAGGGGGAAACCCCCCAAAAAACCCCTCAGGACCCCCAAAATGAGGGGGAGGACCCCCAAAAAACCCCCCAGGACCCCCAAAATGAGGAGGAAACCCCCCAAAAAACCCCTCAGGAGCCCCAAAAATCAGGGGGAAACCGCCCAAAAAACCCTCAGGACCCCCCTGAAACTCCCCAGGACCCCCAAAATCAGGGGGAAACCCCCCAAAAAACCCTCAGGACCCCCAAAATTAGTGGGGAACTCCCCAGAAATCCCCACAGGACCCCCCCAAGACCCCCTAAGGACCCCCCAAAAGGGGAGGAGACCCCCCAGGAACCCCCAAATTTGTCTAGACCCCCAAAAACCCCCAGGACCCCCCCTGAGACCCCAAAAACCACCCCAGGACACCCCTGAGACCCCCAAAAACCACCCCAGGACCCCCTGAGACCCCAAAAATCCCTCCAGGACCCCCCTGAGACCCCCAAAAACCCCTTCAGGACCCCTCCCCAATTTGGGGGTCCCCACAACCCCCCCCAGTGCCTTCAGGGCCGCCCCTCCCCAAATTGGGCTAATTAATAAACACCAATTAATGACGCCGGTAATTGATGAAGGGGGGTTTATTTGGGGGGTATTTTGGGGAGGGGTCCTGGGGATTTTTATGGGGGAAATCCTGAGGTTTTTGGGGGGGATCCAGGGTTTTTGGGGGTTTTTTTAGGGAGGGTCTTGGGGGTTTTTAGGGGAACCCCAGGGTGGTTTTGGGGAGGGGTCCTGGGGATTTTGGGGAGGGGTCCTGGGGTGGAAATGTGAGGGGAAAAATGGAAGAAATATGAGGGAGAAAAGGGAGGAAATGTGAGGGGAAAATGACGTGAAATAGGGGAAAAAGTGAGGAAATGTGAGAGAAAAATGGAGGGAAAAGTGAGGGGAAAATGGAGGAAAATGTGAGGGGAAAATGGAGGGAAATGTGAGGGGAAAAATGGAGAAAAATGTGAGGGGAAAATGGAGGAAAATGTGAGGGGAAAATGGGGGAAATGTGAGGGGAAAATGGAGGAAAATGTGAGGGGAAAATGGAGGAAAATGTGAGGGGAAAATGGAGGAAAATGTGAGGGGAAATATGAGGGGAAATGTGAGGGGAAAATGGAGGAAAAGGTGAGGGGAAAATGGGGGAAATGTGAGGGGAAAATGGGGGAAATGTGAGGGGAAAATGGAGGGAAATGTGAGGGAAAATGGAGGAAAATGTGAGGGTAAAATTTGGGAACGAGAAGAAAAAATGGGGGAAATGTGAGGGGGAAATGTGAGGGGAAAATGGAGGGAAATGTGAGGGGAAAATGGAGGGAAATGTGAGGGGAAAATGGAGGGAAATGTGAGGGGAAAAAGGGCGGGAAACGTGAGGGGAAAAAGGGCGGGAAAATGTGAGGGGAAAATGGTGGGAACAAGACGGGAAAGAGGGGGAATATGAGGGGAAAATGGGAGAAATGGAGGAAAATGTGAGGGGAAAATGGTGGAAAATGTGAGGGGGAAATGGTGGAAAATGTGAGGGGAAAATGGAGGAAAATGTGAGGGGGAAAAGGGAGGAAACATGAGGGGAAAATGGAGGGAAATGTGAGGGAGGGGAAAAGGGGGGAAAATGTGAGGGGAAAAAGGGCGGGAAAATGTGAGGGGAAAATGGAGGAAAATGTGAGGGGAAAATGGGGGAAATGTGAGGGGAAAATAAGGGAAATGTGAGGGAAAATGGAGAAAAATATGAGGGGAAAATGGAGGAAAACGTGAGGGGAAAATGGAGGAAAATGTGAGGGGAAAAGGGGGGGGAAAGGGGAGGGGGGAAAAGGGCGGGAAACGTGAGGGGAAAATGGAGGAAAACGTGAGGGGAAAATGGTGGAAAATGTGAGGGGAAAATGGGGGAAATGTGAGGGGAAAATGGTGGAAAATGTGAGGGGAAATATGAGGGGAAATGTGAGGGGAAAATTGGTGAAATGTGAGGGGAAAAGAGTGGAAAACATGAGGGGACAAAATGGAGGGAAACGTGAGGGAAAAAAGGGCAGGAAACGTGAGGGGAAAATGGTGGGAACAAGACGGGAAAGAGGGGGAATATGAGGGGAAAATGGGAGAAATGGAGGAAAATGAGGAAAATGTGAGGGGAAAATGGAAGAAAATGTGAGGGGAAAAAAGGAGGGAAACGAGAGGAAAAAGGGCGGGAAAATGTGAGGGGAAAAAAGGGCGGGAAAATGTGAGGGGAAAATGGGGGAAATATGAGGGGAAAATGGTGGGAACGAGACGGGAAAGGGGGAATATGAGGGGAAAATGGGGAGAAATGGAGGAAAATGAGGAAAATGTGAGGGGAAAATGGTGGAAAACGTGAGGGGAAAATGGAGGAAATGTGAGGGGAAAATGGAGGAAAATGTGAGGGGAAAATTTGGAAAACGTGAGGGGAAAATGGAGGAAAATGTGAGGGGAAAATCTGGGAAACGAGAGGAAAAAATGGGGGAAATGTGAGGGAAAATGGAGGACAATGTGAGGGGAAAATGGAGGAAAATGTGAGGGGAAAATGGAGGAAAATGTGAGGGGAAAAAGGAGAGAAATGAGAGGGAAAAGGGAGGGAAAATGTGAGGGGAAAATGGAGGAAAATGTGAGGGGAAATGGAGGAAAATGTGAGGGAAAATGGAGGAAAATGTGAGGTGAAAAAAGTGGGAAATATGAGGGGACAAAAAATGGCGGGAAAGGTGCAAAATGGCCGCCCAAATCCCTGCGTGCTTTCCCCCACAAACTGTGTTAATTAACAGCCGCCGTCGTTAATCACCATCAACTCCGTTAATTGATGCTGAAAGGGAAGTTTATTTGGGGAGGGGGTCGGTTTTGGGCGGGGGGTGGTGCCAGTGCCTGTGAGGGTGATGAAGGTGATGAAGATGACGAAGATGATGAAGGTGATGAAGATGATGAAGGTGATGAAGATGATGAAGGTGATGAAGGAAATGGCGGCTCCATGGTGGCTCCTCCTGTGGAAATTCGGGAAATTTGGGATGAGGTCTTGGTTTTTTTTTGGGGGGGGATCATGATGTTTTTAAAAAAGGAGTTTTTTTAGGGGGCAAAAATCCTAAAGTTTTTTAGGGGGAATCCCTGGGGGTTTTGGGGCAATCCTGGTTTTTGGTTTTTTTTGTTTTTTTTTTGGGAGGGAATCTCTGTTTTTTTGGGAAGGGTCCCAAGGGTTTTTGGGGAAAATCCCCAGGAGTTTTTTGGGGGGGAATTCTGGAGTTTTTGGGAGGGGAAATCCCAAATTTTTGGGAAGGGTCCCGAAGGGGTTTTTTGGGGGGAATTCTGGAGGTTTTTGGGAGGGGAAATCCCAACGGTTTTTGGAGTGAAATCCCAAATTTTTGGGAAGGGTCCCAGGGTTTTTTTAGGGAGAATTCTGGAGGTTTTTGGGAGGGGAAATTCCGATGATTTTTGGAGAGAAATCCCAAATTTTTGGGAAGGGTCACGGGGGTTTTTTGGGTACAATCCCAAAGTTCTTTTTGAGGAGAATTCTGAGGGTTTTTGGGGAGGGTTTCTGGGGGGGAATTTGGGGGTTTTTGGGGAGAATCCCAGTTTTTTGGGGGGAAATTCTGGGTTTTTTTGGGGTGTGTGTCCTGGGTTGGTTTTGGAGGAGAATCCCAGGGGGATTTTTTTGGGGGGAAATTTGGATTTTTGGGGTGTGGGTCCTGGGTTGTTTGGGGGAGAATCCCAGGGGGGTTTTTTGGGGGAAATTTGGGGGTTTTTGGGGTGTGTGTCCTGGGTTGGTTTGGGGGAGAATCCCAGGGGGGGTTTTTTGGGGGAAAATTTGGGTTTTTGGGGTGTGTGTCCTGGGTTGGTTTGGGGGAGAATCCCAGGGGTTTTTTTGGGGGAAATTGGGGGTTTTTGGGGTGTGTGTCCTGGGTTGTTTTGGGGGAGAATCCCAGGGGGGTTTTTGGGGAAATTTGGGGTTTTTGGGGTGTATGTCCTGTGTTGTTCTGGGCAGAATTCCAGGGTTTTTTTGGGGGAAAATTTGGGTTTTTGTGGTGTGTGTCCTGGGTTGGTTTGGGTGTGAAAAAATCTCAGGTTTTTTTTTTTTTTTTTTTTGGGGTGATCCTGGGGAATTTTTTGGGGAGGAATCTTGGGATTTTGGGGAGGTTTTGGGGGTCTCACCCTCAGGCTGCCGCCCCCTCGAATTTCTTCTTGCGCCCCTCCATGCCGCTCATGGCGTCCACGTTCTTGCGCCAGTCCCCGACCTCGTAGCTCTCCTGGGACATTGTCCCCAGTGTCCCCAAAATACCCCAAATACACCCCAAAACTACCCCCCAAAAAACCCTAAAATCGCCACAAAACCGACCCAAAATCCCTCCCAAAAATACCCCCCAAAAAGGCTAAAACATCCACAAAACACCCCTAAAAATACGCCTAAAAATACCCAGAAACCACCTGGGAAATTACCCCGAAACACCACTAAAAGCCCTCCCAAAAACCCCCCAAACCACTAAAAAAACCACTCCCAAAAACATCCCAAAACCCACCCCCAAAAATACACCCAAAACACACCCAAAAACAACCTAAAAATACCACAAAAAACTACCCTGAAACCCCACTAAAAGCATCCCCAAAAATACCACAAACACACCCAAAACACCAGAAAAATACCAGAAAAAAATCCCCAAAACCTCACAAAAATACCCTAAAAATACCTGAAAAAAAATCCCCAAAATACCACCAAAAATATCCCCAAAAACACCAAAAAAAAC